TATATATATATAATATATATACATATATATATATATATATATATTTATATGTAAGAGAATGTGTTTCAAACATCTCATTTTAGGTCGTTAGTTTGCATATCCACTTTGATTCGGCACTCTTTTTTCCGTATTACGTGTTGATTTCGGTCTTTGATTGGTACTGCTCCTGTATGTCATGATCCCACCTTCTCCCCCCCATAGTTTCATGTTCGTGTCATCACGTTGGTGTTTCCAAGCGACAACGTTATATGACACTGTCTCGTTATATCTGTTTGATGGGCTGTGCTGGTGTTCTCACATCACTTTGCGAAGCGTTTTAGTGTTTGGGTGCTCTCTTGCATCAATATAACGTTATCCTTGACAGCTCACACCCTTTCGCTGCACTCCTTTGTCACAGGCTGATACCAAGTTCGTTGGGGTTGGTTCAGGCTCGACCGTTGTGTATGCCGTTGAACGCCTTAACGAGAAGGCTAAGGCCAGTCAAAAGCCTCTGCACTGTGTTCCCACGAGTTTCCAAGCTCGCCAATTGATCACAGCCGCCGATTCGCTCATCCTCAGTGATTTGGAGTCGTGTCCGTTGCTGGACGTCTGCATCGATGGGTCGGATGAGGTATGGGTTGTTGTGACTGTGGTGTGGATGGCTTAGAGTGTGATATGACCTTTTCAGGGGTTTGTTCCCATAGTATGTACTGTCGCCTTCTGCTACGAACACTCAATTGTCATCGCTCCATTCGTTTGCTGTTAAATACTACTCAATTGCCATCGCTCCATTCGTTTGCTGTTAAATACTACTCAATTGCCATCGCTCCATTCGTTTGCTGTTGCTGATAAATAGAATTGCCATCGCTCCATTCGTTTGCTGTTAAATACTACTCAATTGCCATCGCGCCATTCGTTTGCTGATAAATAATACTTAATTCCCATCGCTCCATTCGTTTGCTGTTAAATACTACTCAATTGCCATCGCTCCATTCGTTTGCTGTTAAATACTACTCAATTGCCATCGCTCCATTCGTTTGCTGTTGCTGATAAATAATACTCAATTGCCATCGCTCCATTCGTTTGCTGTTAAATACTACTCAATTGCCATCGCTCCATTCGTTTGCTGTTAAATACTACTCAATTTCCATCGCTCCATTCGTTTGCTGTTAAAATAATAGTGCGACGCAGACCTGAATTGCATCAAAGGCGGCGGAGGATGTCTGACGCAGGAGAAGATTGTGGCGTACAACTCCAAACAGTTTGTGGTCATTGCGGACTACCGCAAGGACAGCACAGTCCTAGGACACAGCGTAAGTGCAGCACTCATTCTGTGAGTGTCTGTAGTTCGTGTGTCTGTCAGTGCACTGCGTGTTTGTGGCACACAGCTACGGAATGGCGTCTGGACAGTCGACATATTCCGAACTTTGGGATACCTATCTATTGATTTTCGTGCAGAACAAATGGATACTAGGACATCGCAGTCTCTGTTGTTGTTTGTTTGGTGTTGAATTGCTCTGCGTTTTACTTTACGTCGTGTGGGTTCGATGATTTATCTTTCTGTGACGTTTAGTACGTCCAATTGAGTGATTAGCGACAAGCGAGTCCACTGTAGCATGACTATACCAATGCACTTGCTATTTATTAACCAGCACCACCTTAATATATCACATTTACACCTCTAATACCACCTTCCTTAGTACTACCTCCGTTCATACCATCTTCCTTAATGTCATCTTCTTTGATACCACCTTTCACACCACCGTCTTAATACCACCTTTCCTTAATACCACCTTCCTTAATACTACCTTCGTCATTCAACCCCGACCATCCTCCCACCAACCAGTGGCGCCTGGGAGTGCCCATCGAAGTGATTCCCTTCGCGTACACGGCTGTGTCGAATGACATCAAACGTCTGGGCGGAACACCCGTTCTGCGCATGGCAAAGGCAAAGGCCGGCCCTCTGGTGTGTGTATGGGTGCATATTCTAGGTCCTTTGGTGTGTGTATGGGTGCGTATTCTAGGTCCTCTGGTGTGTGTATGGGTGCATATTCTAGGTCCTCTGGTGAGTGTATGGATCATATTCCAGGTCCTCTGGTGTGTCTTTGAGTGCATATTCGAGATCTTCTGGTGTTCACTTGGGTGCATATTCCAGGTCCTTTGGTGTGTGTTTGAGTGCATATTCAAGGTCCTCTGGTGTGTCTTTGAGTGCATATTCGAGATCCTCTAGTGTGTACTTGGGTGCATATTCCAGGCCCTCTGGTGTGTGTTTAGGTGCATATTCGAGGTCCTCTGGTGCATATTCAATTCGTTTTTGTTTTGTTTTTCCCGATACATTGCAGTTGTGAGTAGTTTATTTTGGTATCTCTTGTACACTGACATCTGCGTGTATGTGCTGGCGCTCCTATGTTTGAGCGTCTTTCTTCTTGACGGGTTTGGTTGTGTCTGTTGCTCTGTGTGTGTGACTGCGTTACTATGTTTATGATTTTGTTTGCATCGGCATACCATTACACGCATTCGTGGTCGTGTTTGCATCTATATAGTTGTGACAGTAGGGGCTACCCATAGTTGCATGCATGTAATTGGTATGTCGGGTGAGGCATGCTGCCGACACTTCGTAGGATATATGTTCAAAGTGAATGGAAGCGAACTTCTTGCATTGAAACTGCTTACTCTATAGCACATATCACGCATCGTTTGTATATCGGCAAGCAACTGATATTGCCATGTTTTGTTCTTCGGTTGAGTTTACAAGTGGCAACCCCAGCTAATTCTGACCACACTCTTTGTTACGAGAGACTAGTCACGGTGTGCCCAGCGTAGTTGCTAAACATTTGTATATTATTTGGATATTTTTTATTTCATTATCCGGTTATTGCCGATTCAATAATTTGAATACTATCACTCATTTATTGATATTTTGGCTATTACCTATCCCATATTCCTGGCGTGTACTGCATCAGGTGACTGACAATGGCATGTTCATCATTGATGCTGATTGGGGTGACATTCAAGACCCAGCTGCGTTGCATCAGTCGCTGATAGTTATTCCTGGAGTGGTAGAGACTGGTCTTTTCTGTGACATGGCCAAAGTCGCGTTCTTTGGTCAGGCCGATGGTACCGTAGTGCGCAAGACGGCGCAATAAATACAATTAATATCTGTATTAATCATAGCAAGTAAACTAATTAATCAACCTACGCAATAAATACAATTAATCCCGGTATTAGACATAGCAAGAAAACTAATCAATCAACCTACGCAATAAATACAACTAATTTCTGTATCAGCCATAGCAAGAAAACTAATTAATCAACCTACGCAATATATCGAAATAATCTCTACAATAAATCCTTCAAACAGCGCAATAAACACAATTAATCTATGTATTAACCATAGCATCAGACAAAACAAATCTTCTCAATACATCTAAATAATTATCTCGGAAATAAATCTCTAAAACTGGGCAATCAATCGTATTCGTCTCTAAAATATCAATAGCAATAAAATCTAATTAATCTCCGCAATATATCTAAACAACCTTCACAACAAATCCGATTTATCTCTACAATATCAATAGCAAACGCTACATCTCTGAAACCCCATGAAACTGCAACAAATTGGACTGCTTTTGCTGAACATATTACACAGTTGGCCATGGTTCTATACGTTTGCAGGTTCTGCACAACAAACACCCAGTCAATATCCAAAGTTATCTCTGGCCAGTTCAATACATCAAGAGGGGTGATTTCTGGGGCCAAAACGGCAGTAGATGTAGATGTGAGCCTTGTCTGACCATATGATATCATACTGGGCCGTTGAATGTTTAATCAAGACGCCGAACCGAACGCGTGTGAGCTGCTCAATATAAGGCGACATGCAGCGGTGGGGCTGTCACCAACTCTCCGCATCCGCACGAGAATTCGGATCTACAGGTTCAGTGGTACGTTAATATCTACCACAGTCTGCAAAGTGACTCAGAAGTTACTCGTCGAACAAATTCCCAACCGCCGGTGCCAGAATTCGGTGACTTTGAAAAGACTAACCCCCACGCAGCACCAACCTGCATCACAATTGTCCCACACACCTGCCCTTTTTAGGACTGGTACGAAGGCCAATCGGAGAAACGAAAAGACCTTACTGCCCATATCAGCCATTTTTAATTACGATGAATTAGCTTTACCTTCGGTAAGTTCCCTTTCAATCCGTTTTTTCTCTTTGAATATATCTTGATCCTTTTTGAATTTGGCCATCCGCTTCTGATCTATGTCTTTTTTACAATAGTAAAGCGCAACTCCACCCACTACGGCACACACGGACCTACAAATTGGCATTGAGTGCGAGAGATAATGAGAGTCAGGGTAAATGCAGATAAAATACTGCCCATTACTGTGCTGCGATGGTAATCTTCGAATACATATGCGTACGAGTAGCAAGCCAAGTCACAAAACAAACTAAGGCGTCCAAATCAATTCAGTACAGTGATTACGAAAATACTTTAATCACATCCATGCTTAACGTAATACACACACAAACACACACACACACATATAGTATA